TCCCAAAAGACACCCCATCCCAGTTCTTTCTTTCTCAATCTCGAATCTTGTACTCTTTTGAAGTTTTGCAAGATTCTGTCTTGGACCGTGAGATAGGTCGTTCATGACCGGCATGGTACAGCCCGACCTTGGTCCTCCAGCGACGAAGTACAAGGAAGATTCTATTGATGATCCCGTGAGTCTCATTTCCATAATCTTTTTCCCTTTCGAATTCCCGTCTACCCTATAGATCTTGTGATACGTTTCCTACTTCAATATCATTCCTATCTTTCTTGGTCATTTCTATATGTGGTTGCCGAGGAGCTCTATGTCCAGTGGGGTTACCACTTCTCGAACACTTGGATGTCTATCACGCCTTTGGATTTGGTCTTCTTTCGACTTGTCTCTCTTTCATCAACCTGGATCTTCGGCAGGATGAGTGGCGTTGTCAATACCTCAACTGAAAGACGGCCGCCAATTCAGCATGCCGAGCAATTCAACCCGACTCTGGTCGACTTGGCCATGACTTATGGAGCTCTGTCCCATCTGTATACAACTCTTCCGGACCCACCAAAGCCCTTGATCCAACTAGAGCCTCACTTCGACCAAAATGATTTCAATTGAGAGCAACAAGAAAAAAACAATGCCTAAAGTCCGTGTAGTGGCTTGGGAGTGCTATTTACATGATCCAGATTTTGAGTGCTTTGTCCCTTCGGAAGGAAAAAAAAAAAAACAAAAAAGGAAACCCCCCAATCGCAATATCAAGGACACATCAACGCTACACAGATCCATGCTATTCTTTGGTCCTGGACGGACTATCCTGGTTTTACCCTGACCTATTTGTTACGCACCTAAGGCCATCCCTGTTCGAGGATTTCCATTCATCTGTGGTCCAATCCAACCCCTCACTATGATGATGAGATTCTGCATACCTGCAAGATTCAAATTCGCACGCTAGACTGGAGGGGTGATACGCTGATGTCACTCTGGACACTTCTGGCTGTGTTCACAAGTTCCTTTTCTTTCTTTCCTATGTCCACGTTCTCAGCTTGTAGCACCCTGCATTTTCTGGCTCGAATCTTGCGTGTCGTATCTTCCTGGCAACCTTTCGGGGCTGGCTATCCAAGTCTCAGTAACTGATGTTTGTTTCTGCTATAGCTTCGACACGGAAACTCTACGCGCCCCGGTCTTCAACAGTCTCAGACATTACAACCTCGGTCAAATCTAGCACCACAGAAGCAAGGTCCTGCTTCGCCTGTTCAGCCCTCTCTTTCTCTTCCTCCTACCACATATCCTCCATCCCATCCACTAGGAAACGGAGCACTGCACCATCATAATCCCTACGCACCGCCACCTCAGGAGTCCCCCTACTACACCACCCATTCTCCCTATACAACGAACCCGGCGTCGGCACATTACCCTTCTAGTGGTAAGCCCAGTTCCTTTTCTTTGGCAGTTGGTGGGAAGTCTTTGGCGCTGAGAAGTGATCCACTGGCGCTTAGCTTTCTTGACGCTCTTGGCCATCAATCTCCTTTTATCTTATCAAGACATCAACTGATCATCAAGGATTAGGGCCACCTGACCTCATGGCATCTACCGCTCAAATGCAGAGACCCTATCCCTCTATCTACCACACCCCTCAATCAAGCTCACCAGCTTCGGTAGCTTCTCAACCCCATGAACAACATGGCCGCAACATGTACTCGCAGTCACCACAGATGCCACCGCATATGTTCGGCTATCCTCCATATTCGCCCATGAACCCAGTTCAGCCCTCGCCATATGGGGCCCACCATTCTCCCCAGCAGCATCCGCATCCTCTCACAACACAGCCGTTGATGATGCCCCCTCAGAAAGCTCCATCGCAGGTGCCATCACATCAATCCCCCCACCTCCCTACGTCCGGCATGTCTAGCAGCCCCATCATGAAACTCGATTCCTCCCAACACCCCACCACTCCACAGCAAACAATGCTGAACCCTCCCCTTACGGCAACCAACAGCCACGCAATGTCTGCGAGCAATCCCCACGCAAGCCCACCGCTGGGCGGCACCACCTCCAGCGCAGCACCAGGCCCCATCCCAGCCACGACCCCGCTAGTGGTCCGACAGGACAGCAACGGCGTGCAGTGGATCGCCTTCGAATATTCCCGAGACCGGGTCAAAATGGAATACACCATCCGGTGTGACGTGGAATCCGTCATCGTGGACACACTCACTCAAGAATTCAAAACCGAGAACTGCGTGTACCCGCGCGCCTGTTGCAGTAAGGACCAATATCGCGGGAACCGACTGGTCTACGAAACAGAATGCAATGCCGTCGGCTGGGCGCTGGCTGAGCTGAATCCCGCTCTGAGGGGAAAGCGTGGCTTGATTCAGCGTGCTGTCGATAGCTGGCGCAATAGCAATCAGGATCCGAGACTGCGCAGCAGACGTGTCCGTCGTATGGCGAAGATTAACCGACGACAGTCGGTTCCCGCTCAGTCTTCTCATATGGCGCAGCAAGGCCCTATTGGACCGCCTGGTCCCCCTGGTCCCGGCATGAGTGCTATGCCAGCTCCTGTTCCCCGCCCAAATTTGGGTCCACTGTCGATGGGCCCGCCGCAGATGCATCATCATCATCAACCTGATGGTAGTCCTAATGAGGAAGTTAGCGGTATGTTTCACCACATGTGATGCGCTTTGAGCTTTGTTCCATCAATTTTTTTTTTTTTTTTTCTTTCTTTCTTTCTTTCTTTCTTTCTTTTTTTTTCTATCTTTTTATTTCCTTTTCAAAGAGCGACGGGATCACTCATGTATTTTCTCCTTGGGGCCTTTTTCTTGTTGGACCGGATCTATGTCTTGTGTGTATGTGTATATGTGGGAGTTTTGTGTCTTGTCTGGTCTGATCTGTGTGTGTGTGTGTGTGTATGTGTGTATGAGGATGTGTCAATGGTTGTATGAGATGTATACTCTTCTCTCTCTTGTATCCCTACCTGGTCCGCAGTCTGTGTTCTTATCTGTTTTATTTCATACCCTGTTCAACTTCACAGCTTTGTCGCCTTTCTTTTATCATTTGACACCGCGCTTCTTGTGCTTTGGCTCTCCTTTCCTTGGAACTGAACCTTCTTTCCCCGACATGTCAAACATGCAGTTGTACAGCGTAGGCTAATTCTCCCTTTCCCCATAGGGACAGAATACCCAGGCCACCGGAGCATGGACACACGCCTCCCACAGCCCTCAATCCCCGATCTCCGCCCCGCCCACATCTTCCATGACGCCCCAACAACCCTAACCCCAGGCGGCAGCGCCAGCGGTCCCTCCATGCCCCCCCTCCTCCGCGACAACAGCCTCACCTCACTAAGCCGCCACACAATCGCAACCTCCGCCCGCATGGACTCAACTGACCAAATTGAAGATCAAGGTCCAACAAACGATGACCTCTTCAGCCAGCTCCCAGACGGCAAACGCCGCAAATTCATCCTCGTCGACGACCCCCAGCGCGGCTGTCGCGTCCGCGTCAAGGTCGTACTCGACAAGGTCAACATGGACGAGATACCGGACTCCTATCGCGAATCCAACGCCGTCTATCCACGTACCTACTTCCCCATCCAGATGCGCGACGAGAACCGCGTGGTCCCTGCTAAGCGTTTCTTCCGCGATGACGCCGAGCAGGCCGATGATCCCGAAACATCGACTATCGGTCGCACGACTGTGCCTGCGCCGTCGCTTGACGCCGAGACTGACATCGAAGTGCCGCGGATCTCACGCAGAAAACATCGTAAGGAGCTGATGCTTAATGACCTCGGTTACCGTATGAGCTGGAGTCAGAGTCGTGTGTTTGCGGGACGGATGTTATTTTTGCAGCGATCTTGTAAGTGGTTACTTGTTTTTTCTTTTCTTTTTTAACCCTTGTTTTCCTTGTTTTCGTCTTATGTTATCCCTTTGGTTTCGATGGTGTCTCACCCGAACCCATCGACACGGGCCCATGGAACAATCTGACTGCGGCTGAGACATATGAGAAACCCCGCTAACCGTTTGCGAATAGTGGATGCATATCGCGATAAAATGAGAAGCAGTATGCTCGCTGCGGGCCAAGATGCGGGGGATATCCCCGATCATTTTGATACTCGTCGTGGAAAGCGACGGTTCTTGGAGCGTGGGCGTCGGCTAGAGTCTAGTTCTGAGAATGCTGCGCAGCGGAGTGCGTCGGAGGTTGAAGGTTGAAAACGAGGTTATTTTTATTTATTTTGCTGATGTTTTCTTTTTACCTTTCTTACATTATTCCTGGGGTTTTTTTGAGGGGTTGATTATATTGATCGTTTTCGGTCGAGGTATGCGGCATTGACGGTTTGCGGAAAAACATTGAAAATTCCCAAAAACAGAAAAAAGGGAGAAGGGGAAAGGGATACGAGATGATCTAGGATATGCCTCAGATGATACCACGACTTTATTTTATTTAACGTTGAATGAGATATATGAATGTGTTATATAGAAATACTTAACAGCTGATAGTTGATAGTTGATCGTGACAGTGGCAATGGCACAGATAAAAATAGCCACGTAAGGGACACGAATCCACCAAGGTCCACATGGGACCCTGGAAGACCCTGGAGAAGGACCCTGGAATGCTGAAATTATAACCACGTTTACTATGTATACCAATAATAGAAAGGGTATATATTAAATATGTTATGTTGTACTCCGTACTCCGTACATGGAGTACATGGTGTGAATCTGATTCACAAGCTTTTCCCGTTGTCCCGGCCACGCCTTATTTATCCCGCTAATCCATATCATCGGCTCTTTACTCTGCTTTTTCATTCTTGTTTATTGTCTGGAGCCCCAAAAGGACTCGAATTTCCTTTGTTTAGTGAATTCAGTTTGTCTGCATTCAGTCTAAATTTCTGCCTTGGCACCTTCCCTGCATTTTTCTCCGTTCACGGGTTCAACTGTCTCAAAATCTGAACTTCTTATTATTCAAAGTCCGGTCTTCACCGGACACCCGGCCACCTCAACTCCCTCAAAAAAAATACAATAAACATGGACATCCCACCAACACATCGCTATTCCTACGGATCCCGCGAGAACCACACCATCACACCAGGCATGGACAATCTCGGTCCCAGCTCACCGGGCGGCGGAATCAGCGGAATCGCCCTAGGAATTGCCAATACACACAGTCGCCAGAGCGGCATTGAAGCATCTCGAGGCGCAAACGACGGATATACCGGTCCCGCAGAGCGCGACTTTCACACAACCGGCTCCGACACACCCTACGTGCCCTCGGCAGGCTATACCAGCGCCGACTCGTTTCGTCCAGAACAAGCCCACGCTTTGAATATGGCGAGAGGCGGCGCCCTCGCTTCCCCCGCCTTGCAGACGCCCAGTCATTCATCGGTGCATCTGAGCGATCCCGCACACAGCACATACCAATACCCCGCGCCGTATGCGGGTCTCACTGATGGTCCTTATCAGCGACACTCAACCGCGTACAGTAATGGCGATATCTCGAATATTATTAACCCGGATGACATTGCCGATGATGGGGATGAGGACTTTGCTCCCCCGCGCAATCGAGCTGTACCTGCTGCGGCCGGCGCGACTGGTGGCGCCGCTGCTGGTGGGATTCTGACCGGCTTCTTTGGTCGCGAGAAGAAGGTTGATGTCGCGTATAACTCGGTTCCCGGTGGTGGGTTGGAAGCCGGCGGTGGGGGAGCGTCGAGGCGAACACCGAATAATGGAGTAGACGGACGCAAGAAGATGGGCTGGATTGTTGGTCTTGTTCTTGGGTTTATCCTTCTGGGTGCGATCATCGGTGGTGCGGTAGGCGGTACAATTGGTAGTCGTCATAGTGAGGACAAGTCGAATTCTTCCGGTGCAGATACTGCTACGGGTGATGCGACGACCAATGGGGACCTCGACAAGAATTCCGCGGAGATCAAGGCCCTGATGGGAAACCCTGATCTCCACAAGGTCTTCCCTGGAATGGATTACACGCCGTGGGGCGTGCAGTATCCGGACTGTGTGAAGTGGCCTCCGTCGCAGAACAATGTCACCCGTGACATGGCTGTTCTGTCGCAGTTGACCAACACGGTGCGTCTTTACGGTACAGACTGCAATCAGACTGAAATGGTTCTTCATGCGATCGATCGTCTCGAGCTGAAGGATATCAAACTCTGGCTCGGTGTGTGGATTGATTCGAATACCACCTCGACCGAACGACAGATCAATCACCTCTACAAGCTCCTCGATAATACAAATGACACATCCATCTACAAAGGTATCATCGTCGGCAACGAGGCCCTCTACCGCGCCGGCGATAGCAAGGCATCTGCTCAGACGACCTTGATCTCGTACATCAGAGACGTCACGAAGGAGGTCAAGAAGCGCAACCTGGATCTGTTGATTGCGACATCCGACCTCGGTGATAACTGGAATGCGCAGTTAGTCGAGGAAGTGGACGTCGTCATGTCCAACGTCCACCCCTTCTTCGCCGGTGTCAACGTCGATGTTGCTGTTGGGTGGACATGGGATTTCTGGCAGACCCACGACGTCTCCTTGACCCAAGGCACGAGCAAGAAGCAGATCATCTCAGAAGTCGGATGGCCCAGTGGCGGCGGCAAGGACTGCGGTGATAGCAAGGTCTGTGACGACGACACGCCTGGTTCTGTCGCCAGTATCGAGAACATGAACACTTTCATGTCTGACTGGATCTGTCCGGCGTTGGAAAATGGAACTGATTATTTCTGGTATTTATTCGCTATCCACGGGTTCTTCGGCCGGTATATTCAGACTACTAACACTCTCTACAGGTTCGAGGCCTTTGACGAACCATGGAAAGTCCAGTTCAACGTGCCCGGGAAGGAATGGGAGGACAAATGGGGTCTGATGGACCCAGCACGCAAACTCAAGACGGGTCTCAAGATCCCAGACTGCGGTGGCAAGACGGCCTCATGAAGTCCTGTCCGATCCGGCCGTGGCTCTCTTATGGAATCATGATCATGAAACTTCTTTTTATGTGCATATGTATCTTGTTCTTTATTTTGCTTTCTGTTCTGCACTGGCGTTTGTCTTTCCATCTCTGATACCATTCATCACAAGGGGACCCCCGAAGATTTCACCTCTCATCTTCACGCCTTTCCTCGGATTTACGCATCTTTCATTTCGATTCAAAATCTCGGGGTGCCCTGCCTGGCGGTCCATCTTTCCTGTCCTTTTTATCTTCATGCTGTCTTTATCCATTGCTCGTCTTCGGGGCATGCTTGATTTTACCTTGCATATCTCCAGTTCTATTCGTTCCTTTCCTTTCCATTTATGAGGAAGGTCTTCAATGTCTGCCTTTGCGGTGGAAATTTGTCTTCACAGGATATTCACTGGGATCATTTGCGTGTCTTGCATTCCGTAGCTATACTATATACTATCTAGCTATCCTCTACGTCAATGTACATAATAGGTCAATACATCAATTCTCGCTTTACCTGGAAATACCCATAAGAACTATCATACATATATGTATGCACTCGCTTCTTTCATAGATCATTATGTATATTTTCTACCTTCAACAAACCCCTCCAGCGTTATTGTACAAAAGATAGGAACAAAACAACAATAGAAGTAGAACCATAACAGGGAAGGAACCTCGAAGAAGAAGAAAAGTGTACTCAGAAAATTCTGAGAACAACAGAGAGCTGTCTCTGTGGAAAGGTTCCAAAAATTGACTCAAAGAAAACTTTGAG